ATGAAACTGAGGCTCAGAGAGGTGAAGGGGTGTATCCAAGGCCCTACAACTAGAAAGTGAAGGTCCTTAGCCTTACCTGTCCCACCCCTGGAGCACAGGGGTTATACAGGAGGGTGTTTTTCTTTTTTTTTTACATACTCAGAAAATTATTTGGAATCCTATGTTCCATATTATTTTAATTGGGATTTGTGTGAACATTTACAGAGCAAATTAGTTTTCCATTCAACAATTCATATACATTCTGTGTCATGACATTGTCTACAATCGCATCAATGTAAAATCACTCTTCCCACTTCTTCCCTGGGTTCCCCATTTCCATCCTTCCATCTTCTTTTTTTGTTTTAAAGTTTTTATTGTGAATTGAGTGATAGTTTGCATGGGAGAACACCGATTTTATACTCATCCTATCGTATTTCGTTTCATAGCAATGATTACAATCCTCTCCATGCATTTTCATTCAACAGTATTTGTTTCTATTCCCTCTGTTTTTTGGGGGGTTTTGTGTTTTGTTTTGTTTGTTTTTTTTTTTATGTATACAAAACACTCAGGAATGTATAATCATTTAAACAACTAAAGGGCACATTCTGCAAGTTACAGGAAGGCTTTCTTGAAGAAGTGCTTGTAAAGGCTTGAAGAAAGATAAGGATATGGGTAATTTGAAAAGAAGCCAAGAGACAGCAGGTGGAAATATGTAGAACACTTAAAATAACACCTGACACTCCAGAAGTGGTCAATGAATGTTTGCCATTATTATTCTCTTGAGTAGGTCACCTTGAATTCTAAGTGCTAAGCATTGAGCCAGTGGCATCTTTTAGAGAGGGAATTGGTATCCTATGGCCACAAGTATATTAGTTAGGACTTTTCTGGATATAAATGATAATATAAAAACAAACTCAATATATTGGATATTGGCTTGCATATCCAAAACTCCAAGCATAGAAGTGGCTTCAAGTACTACTGGACCCAGGTCCTCAAATGATGACTTTATCTCTTGGCTCTACTTTGCTTGCAGTTGGTTTCATCCTCAGGCAGTCACTTCCCAGGGACAGACTCCAGGTTTACTTTCTAACAACCTCATGGGGAAAAAGTATACTTTGATTCCACAGAAGAAAGCCAAAAAAATCCCAGGGCTGATTCTCATTGGCTTCATGCCCATCTGTGAACCAATCGCCATGACTCTGTTGTACCCACCCTACACCTGGATAGGAGGAGGGTGCAAATGGTTGGTTCTATGCTTAACTTGAACCATGGTGGTGGCGTTGTGCCGTGGAGTCGGTTCCAACTCATAGCAACCCTGCATAGGATTTCCAAGGCTGTAAATGTTTACGGGAGCAGAAAACCTCATCTTTCTCCAATGGAACGACTGGTAGTTTCGAACTGCTGACGCTGAGGTTAGCAGCCGCCCAACTTGTAATCACTCTGCTACCAGAGCTCCTTAACTCGAACCGTAAGTATTGAAAATGGAAGAGAGGTACTTACCAATGTAAAATCAAAACTCCCTTACCAAATAGAGATGAAAATTCATCAGAAATAAACCTCAGATGTCCTCTAGAACAAGGAAAAGTAAAACTGAAGATGTCACACAGGATAATTTGAGGAGTGTGGGGACTAGAGTTCAGGTGAAGGTCAGGGATGGCCAGAAGGAAGTGACGGAAAAGAGAGACACTGACCCTTAATTGAACCCTCTCAACTTCCCACTCTGCTGAGGAGAACCCAAGATCCAAGAGAGCAATAAGAAGCAGCCCCAAACCTTTCTCCCTCCCCTTTCTCAAAAGGGAATAAAGAAACAAAGTCTTGGTGCACACACCACCTCTGAAAGATGGCCAGCCCCTGACTCAGAGGAGTGCCCCCCAGGTTAACTGCTGAAAGTGATTAAATACCTCCTCTATGGCCTGCCTTTGATGTGCAGAAGAGGGTCTAAGTATGTGGGGCATGAAGGTGTGCTGAGGCCTTGTCTCCGGAATCCTCAGTCCAGCTGAGTAGCAGTTCCAGGTCAGCGTTCTAATCCTAAAACACACTTAATTCCAACCTCAGTCTCACTTACTCTTCAGTTTTCCAAATCTCCTGGTATTGTCATCTGAAAAACAGGAGTAATAGTATCTATAATGTATCAGAGTCATTGTGGGATCTAGAAACGGGATGTAAAAAGTACTTCAGTTTTGGGCTGGCTCATAGTAAAAGTGCACAGTTTAAAAAACATGTTGCTGTCCAGGGAATCCCAACTCCTAATGACACTATAGGACCGAGCAGAGCTTCTCCAAGGTTGTTTCCAATGCTGTAATCTGTATGGAAGCAGACTGCCACATCTTTGTCCCACAGAGCAGCTGGTGGTTTTGAACTGCCACCTTTAGGTTAACATCAATGGTTTAAACCACTGGACCATGAAGGTTCCTGACAAGTGCATCATAGTGACTTTTTTAGTCATGCTATCTATGATAAGTGCTGTAACCCCAGGGCAATTTTATATTTACCTGATCTTCTTGTTCAAACTTCAACCTCTTTCTTTCAATATCCTGGGTTTGTTGACAGAATCTATACATGTTTCCTCTCCACACCATCGTGGACTGTCTGCCCCATTCAACAGACCATTTTTCATGGTCCATCTGTGAGCCCTCTCCATCTGTCTTTCTTAAGAGACATTGATTTGAACAGTACAGGACCTTCCCAGAGAAGACACACCTGGGTGCTAGGCACACTGCAGCCTCAGCATTGAGTCTTTGATGGAAATAATGATAAAACTTCTTCTCTGGGGCAGAGTCCCTGGGTGATGCTAACGGTTAACTTGTGCAGCTGCTAAAGGAAAGTTGGAGATTCAGGTCTATCTAGAGGCCCCTGGAAAAACAAGCCTGGTGATCTCTTTCTTAAAAAATCAGCCAGTGAGAACCCCTGGAGTACAATTCTACTCCAACACACATGGTTTACTGTAACTCGGAGTCAACTCAACAGCAACTGTGTTTGTGTCTTGTGCCTTCCTTTGATGGAGGTAACCAACCATCATGGGAGACATTAGGTTTGGAACCAGAGAGAGCTGAATTTGAATCCCAGGCTCTTGCTTACTGTGGGCTCTTGGGCAAGTTACTGAACATCTCTAGCCTCAGTCCCCTAGTCTATAGAAAGAGGGCATTGTTGTCTAATGTAGTGGTTAAGAGTGTGGTTACCTTGTATTGAATCCAAGCTCTATAAGCTCTGTGACTTTGGGTGAAGGCCTCAAGGGTCTTTCCATTTGTAACATGGGGGTACTAACATTGTAATGGGGATTAAATGAATTATATTTAAAGTGCTTAGTGCAGCGCTTGAGACTCTGTTGTTATTAGGGGCACTGAGTTGGTTCTGACTCACAGTGACCCTATAAACAACACACTGAGATACTGCCTGGTTCTACACCATCTTTACAATTATCGCTGAGTTGGTTCTGACTCACAGTGACCCTATAAACAACACACTGAGACACTGCCTGGTTCTACACCATCTTTACAATTATCGCTAAGTTGGTTCTGACTCACAGTGACCCTATATACAACACACTGAGATACTGCCTGGTTCTACACCGTCTTTACAATCACTGCTGAGTTGGGGCCCGCTGTTGCAGTCATTATGCCAATCCATCTCATTAAGGGTCCTCCTCTTTTTCAATGACCCTCTGTTTTGCCAAGCATGATGTCCTTCTTCAGGAACTGATCCTTCCAGATAATATGTTCAAAGTACTTGAGATGAAATCTCACCCTCCACACTTCTAAGGAACATTCTAGCTGTACTTCTTCCAGCACAGATTGGTTTGTTCTGGCAGTCCAATAGTTGCCAACACCATAATTCAAAGGCGTCAATTCTTCTCTGGCTTTCCTTATTCAGATTCCAACTTTCACATACACATGAGGTGATGGAAAATACCATGGCTTGGGTCAGGTGCACCTTAGTTTTCAAAGTGACATCTTTACTGCTTAGGTCTTTTACAGCAGATTCGCTCAATGCAATATGTCATTTGATTTCTTGACCGCTGCTTCCTTGAGCATTGATTGTGGAGCCAAGAAAATGAAATCCTTTACAACTTCAGTCTTTTCCTCCATGTATCATGCTCTTTATTGGTCCAGTTGTAAAGTTTTTGTTTTCTTTATGTTAAGGTGTAATCTATACAGAAGGATGTAGTCTTTGATCTTCATCAGTAAGTGCTTCAAGCCTTCTTCACTTTCAGCGAGCAAAGTTATATCATCTGTGTATCACCAGTTGTTAATGCGGCTTTCTCCAGTACTGATGCTTCTCAGATTATGTGCTCAGCATTCAGATTGAATAAGTGTGGTGAAAGAATACAACACTAACACAAACCTCTCCTGATTTTAAACCACACACTATCACCTTTTTCTCTTGATCTCTGTATAGGTTCCTTATAAGCACAATTAAGTGTTCTGGAATTCTCATTCTTCACAATGCTATCCATAGTTTGTTATGATCCACATAATCAAATGCCTTTGCATAATCAATCAAACACAGATGAATTTCATTCAGTGAAGATCTATCTGATACCAGCAATGATATCCCTTGTTCAATGTCTTCTTCTGAACCCAGTATGAATTTCAAGCAGCTCCCTGTAGATATACTGCTGCAACCACTGTTGAATTACATTCAACAACATTTTACTTGCATGTGATATTAATGATATGGTCCAATCATTTCCACATTCTGTTGGGTCACCTTTCTTTGGAATGGGCACAGATATGATCTTGACCAGTTGGTTGGCCAGGTAGCTGTCGTCCAGATTTTTTGGATGAGATGAGTGGGCGCCTCTAGCACTGCATCTGTTTGTTGGAACATTTCGGTTGGTAGTCAATTCCTGGAGCTTTGTTTTTCAACAATGCCTTGGTAAAGATAGAAATTTTAGTTACCATTGAATAATGTGTGCAGAGCACTGGGCTCAAATCGTGTGGGAGAGGGGTGGGTGGAGAGGTGAGGAGCAGTCCTTGGGCTCAGGTTGGGACACAGGAAAGCCAACTGCTACTCTTCCTCAGGTGCTGTCCCACAACCTCTACACGGTCCTGCACATTCCCCATGACCCTGTGGCCCTGGAGGAGCACTTCCGAGATGACGACAATGGTCCTGTATCCAGCCAGGGCTACATGCCCTATCTCAACAAGTACATCCTGGACAAGGTGGGGCCCAGCTCTGGGGGTGGAGGCTCCTCTAAACTCGCCCACTTCCCTAATTTAGCCAGTACCCCAATATATTGCCACCCAACTTTTCCACCCTAATAAACTCTCAATTTACCCACTTTTCTCTGCTTCCTTTCACATCTCAGTCACCTGCCCTTCCTTGCCCTGCTCAACGTACCTTCAACCTCCCTCATCTCTGTGCTAGCTTCCACCATTCCCAAACCTTCCACCCCATCCCTACATAGGCCCACCTCCAGTTTCCAGCTGTAACCTCCACAGAGGGCTCTTCAACCCCCCATAGACCCCTACCCCAAATTATTCTCTGTTCTTCCCAGCTGTCACTGTCTTTCCAGGTTCCTCTTGGCTGTCCACTTCCCCGGGCTCCCCCTTTTCTCTCCCTAGACTGAGGAACTAGAATTTCTCTGTTGGCAGGGGACTTGTAGTATGTGTTGTGTGTGTGTTTAGGGGCAAGGGGACAGAGAGGTAGAACCAGTTAGCTATCTGTTATGCAGCTCAGGGATTCCTGAATTAGAACCCTGACTTGGCAGGGTGGGGAGCAGGAGTATAGATGAATCCAAGAAACCAAGCAGCAGCCTAATTTGGTGGCAGAGCAGGGATGGGGTGGCCATCTTGGCTGTCAGGCAGCCATCTTGGCTGACTTGTAGACCTGGTGGCAGGTGGAGGAGGGGGCTTTCATTAAGGAACACTTTGATGAGCTCTGCTGGACTCTGACGGCCAAGAAGAACTATCAGTTGGATAGCAACGGAAACAGCCTGCTCTCCAATCAGGATGCCTTTCGCCTCTGGTGCCTCTTCAACTTTCTCTCTGAGGACAAGTACCCTCTGATCATGGTTCCTGATGAGGTAAGGGTAATGGCAGCCCCAGAGACTGAGTCATTTGGAGCTAGGCCTCAGCAAAGCGATGAAGGAGGCCCAAATTTCCTTCTGTACTTCTCCACATCCCTTTCCTGCACTGTCTCCCTGTCCTATTAGCTGTTCACACCCATCTGTCTTCAGATGCTTACAACTGCTCATATATATTAGAACAAGTGTGCCTTCTTCCAGGAGAACCAAAATTATATTTCCCTCATCAACTGAAAATTGCATTTGCACAGAGTTGTAAATGACTTATACATTACTGACATTATACCGTAAGAACATTGGGATCAAATGGTGGATTTGAGGCACCAACAATCCAGAAAGGAAAGACCTTTCAGTTACTCCAGGTAGGCCCAGGTTCCAGACCTTTCCCTTCCTATCTTCTACAGGAAGATAGTGGCGATACAAGGCAGATTCAACTCACAGCCTCAGGAAGGAAGGGACTCCTTTCTACTAGGGCAGGATAGGAGAAGAGGGCTAGAATCTGGCCCCCGCCTCCTCAATGCATAGGTGAAGCCAGGGCAGGAGTCTCCCCTTTCTTGTCCACCTGTACCCTCCCTCAGTTCCCCTCTTCTCCTGCCCATTCTGTCTCTTTCTGACCTTTCAGCCCTCCTATGGCTGCGGAGATGCCAAGGTGAATTTAGATCTTTAGAGCAAGGAACACCAGGGAGGGGTTTTCTGGGTTTACAAGGAATAGTCTTGGCATATCTAACTGCATTCAGATTTCTGTACTTGCTTCAGTTTATGGGAAGAGTGAAGGGAGGCACCTGAGTCCTAAACTAGTGCTCCCATCCCCAGTTGAGGCCCAGAGTGAATGTTCTAGAGAGTTTTCAGAAGGTGCTGGGGCAGGAGAGGGACATGTGCCATCTGCAGACACCTGGTTGGCAGCCCTGGTCAGACCTCTGTCAGTCAGGACAAGGTGGCCTCTCATAGGCCAGGAGGCCGCTTGCTTGCTGTGATCAACAGGCAATGTGAATGAATACAGCAGGATATACTCCAACCACTACTTCCTGTTCTGCTGTATCAGGTTTCCTGTCCCTGCCCTGTTTACCCCCACCTTTAGTCACCTTGCCCCTAAAGAAGGGAAGGGTCTTCAGGGTTGGTGAGGAATTGAGACTTAGAATGAGAACCCAAATGGAATCCAGGGGCTCTGAATCCAAGTTATGGCTGCCAATTTACTGTGTTACTTAAAGCAAGACACTTCCCCCTTTGGACCTCAGTTTTGTCATCTGCAAAGGAAAGTACTGGATAAGATGCCCTCCTACCCCTCTGCCATTTTCTATGATTCACTATTTCTGCCTTGCTCCTTAGCCCTCAGCTCCCACTTTCACCCTGCTTTTAATTTATGGCTGTAAGGAGTGAACTGGCGGTTGAGGAAGGGAAGGAGGATGCCTGGGGTGGGGTTGGAGCTCCAGAAACCCCTTCTACATGTCTACCCTGTGCTCCACCAGCATCTGGTTCTCTGGCCCCCAACTCCCTGCCCCTGATCCCTTCTGTTCAGACTCTGGGAGTCTGATGAGAGCGCCCCCTGGTGTTGGTGCTGACAACACTGCCTGCTGCAGCCACCAGGCCAGCTTTCTCTCTGTTCAGGTGGAGTATCTGTTGAAGAAGGTGCTCAGCAGCATGAGCTTGGAGATGGGCCTGGGAGAACTGGAGGAGCTGCTGGCCCAAGACGCCCAGGAAGCCCAGACCACTGGAGGACTCAGCGTCTGGCAGTTCCTGGAGCTCTTCAACTCAGGTCGCTGCCTGCGAGGCGTGGGGCGGGATACCCTCAGCATGGCTATCCACGAGGTCTACCAGGAGCTCATCCAGGATGTCCTGAAGCAGGTCAGACCAAGTTGGGAATTAGGAGGGAACCCTGTGGATGGGAAAGTGGGGACCTGGGCAGCCTTTGCTCTGACTGTACTCTGGCTGACAGGGCTACCTGTGGAAGCGAGGGCACTTGAGGAGGAACTGGGCAGAACGCTGGTTCCTGCTGCAGCCCGGCTGCCTCTGCTACTTTGGAAGTGAAGAGTGCAAGGAGAAAAGGGGTACTATCCCACTGGACCAGCACTGCTGCGTGGAGGTGAGGGGACAGGCCAGGGGGCCTAGAGGGTTTCTAGGATGGTGTGAAAGCAAGGGGCTCATTGAGAGGGCTGATGGAGAAAAACCACAGTGACACAAATTTCTGCTTGGGTGAGTGTAAACCACATCTACCTGCATGTCTCAAGGCCATTCTTACCCATGTCAGCATTTTTAAAGAAATGAAAACCACAAGGAGAGCAGAAGCATTGGTAAATAATGTGGATTTTGCTAAAGATTTCAGAGGAGATGGCTTAGGGCTCACAGAACACACCAAAGCATTCTAAAAATCTTCTTTAAAGGTCTCTTTGCTCTCCCCTAACTCCATTCTCTTTGACAACTCCACACACCCCTATTTTCTCTCCACACCCTTGTCCTCTCCCTCTTCTCTTCTTTTTCTTCCTTGGCTCTGTCCATTTTTGTCACAGAAGGAAACAGGTATCACTGTAGAAACAGCACAGATCTGGGCACCACTAATAGTCAGTGTGACTTGGGCAGGTTCCTTAACACCTCAGTTTCTTTCTCTGTAAAGTGGAGGTAGTAATGCCTGCCTGGTGAGGTTACTAAGGAGCCTTGGTGGCTCTGTAGGATAATACTGGATTACTAATGGCAGGCTCAGCATTTCAAACCTACCAACCGCTCCCATAAAGATTTAGAGCCACAGAAACCCTATACAGGGTCACTATGAGTCAGAATTGACTCGATGGCAGTGAGTTTAGTTTGGGTTTTAGTAAGGGTATTTCATTTAGGAAGAGTAAATAAAATAATGCATAAAAAGTACTAGTACAGTATTAACTGAAAAGGTGGTGGGCTATTATTTCCTACAAATATTTCCCCTAGTGGTGCTAATGGTTAACTGCTAAATCCACGGCTTGCAGGAGACAGACCCAGCAACCTGCTTCTGTAAAGATTGTTATTGTTATGTGCCATCGAGTCAGGGTTTCCAGGGAATAGCTGGTGGGTTTCAAATGCTGACCTGTGGTTAGCAATTCAGTACTGGTCCTATAGCACCACATCAGGATCCTACAGGGCAGTTTTACTCTGTTACATGGAGTGGCTATAAGTTGAAACTGACTCAACAGCACTCAACAACACAACAACATTGTTTTCCGCTAGCGTCTAAACTTAGTGAAGGCAGGGATTTGGTCTGTTGGCTAGGCTTCAGTACCCCCAGATGTCCAGAGCATTGTCATTCAGTAGATCTCCACAAATATGAAGGGGCTTCAAAAAAATTCCTGGAAACATCCCGTTCTCTTTCAATTCCATTTTTCCTTGAACTTTTTGAAGCCCCCTCATATCTATGAAATCAATGGAGAACTTAACAGTCAAGGCTAATAATAACAAGAAAATTGGTGTTCTTGAGTATTAAGAACTTTGTCACTGGAGTGTTTACGCATGAACTTCTTAATCCGTGTTCTGCTTATTCAGAGATAGATTATTCAAAAAGCAAGGTAATCACAAGTTTACCAATCTGTAGTGAACAATTTCACAAGGGTTGCTACTTACTAATCTGTAGTGCCTTATTTACTGAGTACTCTGTTCCTGTTAGGAATTGTAAATGTGAAAGGAGGCTTTGATTCTGTAAGGAGGTGCTGTGAGGTTGGGAGGGAGACAGATGCCAGCCAGACCTAGAAGGAGAATCTTTGATGTAGTGAACAAAATGGGAAATTTTTGGCTACAAATAGTAAATAAGTACAAGTAGACCTGTGTTACCTTGTGTATTGCTAATCTGTCACTGACACTAGCCACCACCCATTGTAGTTCACTGGATTCTGAGTCATAGTGAGTCTATGGGACAGGGAAGCCCTGGTAGCACAGCGGGTTAAGCATTTGAGGCTGCTAACTGCAGGGCCAGCTCTAAGTCTGAACGGACTTGTTAAGTACTGTCGAGTTGGTTCCCATCCATAGCAACCCTGTATAGGGGTTCCGGTGAGCAGCTGGTAAGTTTGAACCATTGACCTTACGGTTCAAACCGACCTTGCAGTCCAGTGCTTATCCTACAGCACCACACCACCACGACTCCCACCATCTATGTTGTTGTTGTTGTTAAGTGCCGTGGAGTCCGTTCCGACTCATAGCGACCCTGTACATGGTTTTAGGCTGTAAATCTTTACGGGAGCAGAACGCCTCATCTTTCTCCCGCGGAACAGCTGGTAGTTTCGAACTGCTGACCTTGCGGTTCGCAGCCCGATTTGTAACCACTACGTTACCAGAGCTCCTCCCACCAGCTATAGGACAGGGTAAAACTGCTTCAGAGGGTTTGGAGTTTGTAAATCTTTATGAAACACGTTATCGCATCTTCCCTTTAAAGGAGCAGCTGATGGGTATGAACTACCAACCTTTTGATTAGCCATGGCTTGCTTAACCACTGCGTCACCAGGGTTTCTTGATACTAATCTGAGTAGGTACTATGTACTAGACTATGTAGAGAATGAAAACGAAAATGTCCTGCCTGTGCCTTCAAAGACCAAAAGCTAGAGTTCCAGGACACAGTACCCCCACAACGGCCCAAGATGGGCCACCGGGCTCCTGACAGAGTGGGAGAGGCGCCCTCCAGTGAGGCTAGCCCAACTGCCTTCTCCCAGGTGCTGCCCGACCGTGACGGGAAACGCTGCATGTTCTGTGTGAAGACTGCCTCCCGCACCTATGAGATGAGCGCTTCAGACACGCGCCAGCGCCAGGAGTGGACTGCTGGTGAGTGCTCTCCACGTGGCCTCATTTGTGAAAAGCCCAGTGGAGGCCAGAGGCTGGACTAGAGAAGTTCCTAAGGCACTTTCCCAGCAATGGGCCACCTCAGACCCTCTGCTGTCAGCTGATCCCGTCCCACTCCCTCCGCAGCCATCCAGACCGCTATCCGGCTGCAAGCCGAGGGGAAGACTTCACTGCACAAGGACCTAAAGCAGAAGCGGCGCGAGCAGCGGGAACAGCGGGAGCGGCGCCGGGCAGCCAAGGAGGACGAGCTGTTGCGGCTTCAGCAGCTGCAGGAGGAGAAAGAACGGAAGCTGCAGGAACTGGAGTTGCTGCAGGAGGCGCAGCGGCAGGCTGAGCGCCTGCTGCAGGAAGAGGAGGAACGGCGCCGCAGCCAGCACCGTGAGCTGCAGCAGGCGCTCGAGGGCCAGTTGCGAGAAGCAGAGCAGGTGGGGCCTGCGCCTAGACTGGATCCGAGTGTAGGGTGATGGAGTGGGCGGGGACGGGGTGGGGCCCGTGGGTGGAGAGATATGTTTGGAGGCGGGGCAAAGCCTGTGGGCTTGAAAGATGGATAAAAATTGGGGGATTGCGGGGTAGAAAGTGGTGGTGAGGGAGGCGAGAACCAGGCTGAGGAATATTTGAGGTTAAGGATGGTGTGGGGCGGAGCTTGAACCAATGTTGCTGAGTGATAGATGCAGTTAGACTCTGTTCTGAAACCCTGGTTGGGGAACAGGTCTTGGACAGGAGATTAATTTGGGAAAAGGATGGAGTAGGTTGGATTAAGCTTGAGCTGAGTTTACAGTGAAACCATTTTGGGGACTGCAGAATGTGGAGATGATCTAGGTGTGCAGAGGCAATTAGGTGTAAGGTTTAAGAGATCTGGATCGGTAAAATGCTGATGCTAACAATACTTCGCTCATGTTTGTTGTTGTCGAATCGGTTCCAACCAATAGCAACCCTGTGTAATGTTTTCGAGGAGCGGCTGGTGAGCTTGAACCGCTGACCTAGCACTTTAAATGACTTTGCAGTTGGGCATTAACCCACACGCCACACCAGGACTCCTTGCTTATATAGTTATACCAAAACACCTGTTGCCATCAGCTCATAGTGACCCTATAGGACAGACTGGAACTGCCTCACAGGGTTTCTGAGTCTGTAATCTTTGCTGGAGAATGTTGTTGTGTGTTGTCAAGCTGCTTCTGACTTTGTGTAGGGTTTCTGATAGCGGCTGGTGGGTTTGAACTGCTGAGCTTGTGGTTAACAGTCTAGTGCTTATCCTACACCACAGAGCATTTGTTGTTAAGTGCCATGAGATTAAATAAGGAAACATCTGTAAAGTGTTCAATACCTTTTAGCTATTGAACTAAATATAGTTATAATATTATTATTGCTTTAGTTATAATGAAGTCTGATGCTAAGAAAGGACTTGAGCTCCTTTCCCTATGTGGCATCTGCTCGCTCACCATTATCCCACCCACCCAGCCTATTAGAAAGGGTCAGATCAGGAAACCCCAACATAAAGGGATTCCCCCTACTTTTACCCTCAGAAAGTCTAGCTGGGCGGACCTGGTTTGCCCTGGGAGAAGGGCTTCATGCCACCCCACTTCCTAGCGCGCCCTGTGACCTGGCTGTGTGTCCTGTGCAGGCCCGGGCCTCCATGCAGGCTGAGATGGAGCTCAAGGAGGAGGAGGCTGCCCGACAGCGGCAGCGCATCGAGGAGCTGGAGGAGATGCAGCACCGGCTGCAGGAAGCGCTGCATCTGGAGGTGAAAGCTCGGCGGGATGAAGAGGCAGTGCGTCTAGCCCAGACCAGGTAGGCCTGAGGGACCCCTCTTAGTTCCTCCAACCCCTTTCCGTCGTGCTTGCTGAGCACTTGTAAGGTGCCTTAGCGCTGGAGACAACCAAGTGCACGCCCCTAGACTGCTGGAGGAGGAGGAGGAGAAACTGAAGCAATTGCTGCAGATGAAGGAGGAACAGGAGCGCTACATCGAGCGTGCTCAGCAAGAGAAACAAGAACTGCAGCAGGAGATGGCGCAACAGAGCCGCTCCCTGCAACAAGCCCAGCAACAGCTGGAAGAGGTGCGGCAGAACCGGCAGAGGGCCGATGAGGACGTGGAGGTGAGTCCTTGTGTGAGATCTAGTCTGATGGGGTGAATGCTTTAATGGGAAAACTTGAACTAGGCTGCCTTCCCTCAAACCCTGGCTGCCACCCGTTGACTACGTGGCCTTGGACAACTTACCTAACCTCTCTGAATTTCAAAATGGTTCTCTACTCATGTGCGGCTGCCATGAATCGGATTTGACTGGACAGCAACTAACAAACAATAGTTCTGAAGATCATAAAATAAACATTGTTAGGAAGATCAAACAAGATACTTGATATTTAGTATGTAGAAGTCCTGGTGAGACACTATAGGATAAGCACTGGATTGCTAACTGCAAGGTTGTAGTTTCAAACCCACCAACCACTCCTCCAAAATATACAGTGTTGCTATGAGTCGGAACTGACTTGATGGCATTTAACAACAAGAAGTGCTAAAGAAACATTGTTGTTAAGTGCTGTAGAGTCGGTTCCCCTTCATAGCTACATGTATAGGGTTTCTGAGGAGCAGCTGCTGGGTTTGAACTGTTGACCAGTGCTGATCCTATAGTGCCACTTATTAGGAGCCCTTGTAGTATAGTGGAGTATAAACTGGACTGCTAATCTCAAGGTCACTAGTTCGAATCTACCAGTTGCTCTGCAAGAGAACGATGAACATTTTTGCTCCCATAATGCTATTTTATAGCCTTGGAAACCCTATACAGGATTGCTATGAGTCAGAACCAACTCTGTGACACACCAACACCACCAGATTACTTATAATACCTGTTGTTGTTGTTGAGTGCTGTTGAGTTGGTTCCGACCCATAGCGACCCTGTATAGGGTTTCCGAGGAGTGGCTGGTTAAGTTTGAACTGCTGACCTTGCGGTTCAAACTGACTTTGCAGTCTACTGCATTAACCCACAGTGCCACACCAGGACTTTATAATGCCTAATGCAATGTAAATGTTATGTATATAGTACTTTATGCTTCTTCTTAGAATTTGAGGATTGCTTTGATCACTTAATTGCTTCTCCTGCATCCCCAATATTTTAAATATGCCATTGGTTTGAGGTTGCAGAACCTGTGGATATGATGACCAACCATACTTGAGCTCCACTCCTTGGAACCTGTATCTCCAGAAAAGGAGCTATTTTTATCTATATATTATTTTTTATATTGATAGTGATTATTTTATTTTTCATTGTTGGTTTATTTAGTCATTGTAAATAGTAAACACAGAAGGATATCATATAAAAAGAGAAAATCTCCCCACTCCCAAACTGCTAATTACTTATGTTTTGTGGTGCTGTAGGATAAGCACTGGACTGCAAGATGGATTTGAACCACAAAGTCAGCAGTTCAAGCTCACCAGCTGCTCCTCAGAAACCCTATACAGGGTTGCTAAGAGTCAGAATCTACTAAATGGCATTTAAGGACAACCGTACTACAATAGAAATGGCATAATTGGATGAATTTAACAAACAGACATTTTCTCTCTCATGGTTTGCTGTTGTTAAGTGTCACTGAGTTGGTTTCGACTCATAGTCACTTTGCATAGGGTTTCTGAGAAGTGGCTGGTGGGTTTGAATCACCAGCTTTGTGGTTAGCAGAATACACCATGTTTATCCCATAGCGCCACACCAGTACTACAGTTTAGGAGGCTAGAAACCTGAATTTAGGGAGCCAGTTCTAGAGAAGATTCTCTCTCTGTGTGAGCTCTGAGGGAAGGGGGCTTGTCTCCTTTCAACATCTCTGGACCTGGCATTCCTAGGAGAACTCCTACTATCTTGATATCAATCTTCTCCTGGGTCTAGGAGGTTCTTAATGCAGGGAAACCAGGTCTAAAGGACACACGTAGCTCCCAGCTCTTCTTTCTTGGTGGTACTGAGACCTTCTTTCTCTGTGACCTGAATAAGGATGTTGTATCCCACTCTGATTTTCTTACAGCTGATTGGTAGATCAAATCAGATCACATCATGGGCATGATCACATCATCACATAATTACCAAACCACTGAGAACCACCATCCAGCCAAGCTGACAATGTATTTTGGGGGGGATCATAATTCAGTCCATGACATTCCACGCAAAATTCATGTCCTTGCTATATGCAAAATGTTTTTACCATATCATATCATCCCCAAAATCTTAAGTCAATTTCAAGTCTGAATTCCATCCTGGGGCAAAATTCCTCTTCATAGTGAATCTAGAATACAAGTTATCGGCTTCCAAAGTACAATGGTGGAACAGGCACAAAGTAGACATTTCCATTACAAATAGGAGAAACTGAAGGAAAAGAAAGGATAATGGGCACCAAGCAAGCAAAAAAACCCAGCTGAACAATTGACATTAGCAATCAAGGCTTGGAAATAATCCTCTGTTTTCTGAGGCCAACTAAGAAAGGAGCCTGCCCTCCAGACTCTAGGTATTTGCTATGCTCTCTGGCTTCTGGGTAGAGGCCCATTGGCCCTGGGCTTCAGCTGCACCTTTCAGGTCCTCTGCGATGGCAACGTTGTTCACTCATCTCTGAGTGGCACCATTCATTCTGCTAGTCCAACCGAGTGGCAACCCTACCTGCTTGACCCTGGCAGGCTCTGTTCTTCTGACCCTTGGGCATGACAGCCCAATACTCTCAGCTTTGAGCAGTGGATCCAGCCCCATCCCCATGGCACACCTTAACAATAACTCAATAGCTTCTTTCTTTGAGACCCCAAAGATCGTGGTCCTGCCCTTTGAGACTGAGACAGCTTACTTCCTGGGCTCCTTGTTTCTTCAGCTTCTGCTTACTGATTCCTTGGCCTCTTTGGTTCACCTGGCCGCTGCCCTGCTTGGTCAAATGTTACAAAGCAGTTTAAATCTAATGATAAGTGCACAGAGGCACCCCACTCTGCCAGCAATCCTCCTGCCCAAAGGCACTCAGTTCTCTTGCTCCATGGGTCAGCTCAGCTCCCATGCCATATAGCATCAGTCTCCTGATTCTGCTCCCACTTTCTCTGCCACTGCTTCTTGCCATCTGCACCCTCTCTGGTGTAACAGCTCTTCTCACTTCTTCTGAGCTTGTATCAGAATTTCCTTTGATGTCCATAATCACACTAATAGTCTCTTGAAGTACTCTAGGCTTTTTCTATTAGCACCTTAAAACTCTTTCAGCCTCTACCGATTCCTAATTCTAAAACCACTTTCATATTTTAGGTATCTATTGAAGCACCCCACTCTTCTGATACCAAATTCTGTATTAGTTATCTAGTGCTGCTATAACAGAGATACAACTGGTCATCGTGATGTGCCGTGGAGTCGGTTCCGACTCACAGCAACCCTGTATAGGGTTTCCAAGGCTGTAAATCTTTACAGGAGTAGAACAATCAGAAGGCTTTAAAAAACACAAGTTTATGGTCTCACAGTTTAGGGGCTAGAAGTCCAAATTCAAGGACCGTTCTAGGGGAAGGCTTTCTCTGTTGACTCTAGGGAAAGTCTGACATTTGTGGGTCCGGTGTTCCTTGGCGATCTACTTCTTGACATTAATCTTCACCTTGGTCTAGGAGGTTCTCAGAGTAGGGACCCTGGGTCCAAAGGATATACTCTGCTTTCAGCTCTTCTTTGTTGGCGGCAATACTTCCCTTCTTCTCTGCTCACTTCTGTCTCGTTTTATTTCTTGTGAGATAAAAGGTGATGCAAGCCATGTACCAGGGAAACTCACTTACATGGGATCAGGACTGTAACCTGAGTAAGCATGCTGCACCCCACCCTAATCCCTTTACAACTCATGGCTGATTACATCAGGTCACATCCTGGAGGATGATGTCATCATTACATAACTGCCAAATCACTGAGTCCCATGACCCAGCCAAGTTGACACATTTTGGGGGAGACACACTATTCAATCCATGACAGCTTGTGCACATTGGAGCAAGGATTCTTGTACTAGGTCCTAGAAAACTTGTCAGGTGCAGTGATTTAGAGCTCACTGTGTGTCCCTGGACAAGTCATTTGACCTATTTTGAGTTTCTGCTTCTTGTTAATGTCTTTTCTGGGAGTTAAATAAGATAATAAATATGCCTAGCACATCTTACCAGCTCAATAAATGGAAATTATTATGATGATAATTATTGACTTTTGGGGAGAATGTGGACCCCATAAAATTGGATACAAACTCTGTTCCTGTTCATAACTCTTTATGAACATACATGATTTTTTTCTTGGGGGATCGTCAGTAGCCTTTGCGACGCCAGAAGGGGCCTGTGACCCTGAATGGGTCAAGACCCCCTGCCATGAGTGGTGGTTCTGACCTATGTTGTGCTGGTCTTGCCCTCCACAGGCTGCCCAGCGGAAGTTGCACCAGGCCAGCACCAATGTGAAACACTGGAATATCCAAATGAACCGCCTCATGCATCCTATTGAGCCTGGAGGTGAGAGAGGGGTAGAGCCTAGAGCTTTCCCTGGAGGTGGAGAAAAAAATGAGGGAGACAGGGATGCCTCCAAATCTTCAGGGTCCACAGAAGTAGGACTTAAAGTCATGAGGTTTTCTGCTCCCCTAAGGACTGAGGTAAGGCCCCTCAATCTCTCCCCTCCACACATACCTGTCTCCTTACTCATATCTGTCTCCTCTCTGCCAGACAAGCGGCCCACCACCAGCAGCTCCTTCACAGGTTTCCAGGCCCCTCTGCTTGCCCGCCGTGACTCCTCCCTAAAACGCCTGACCCGCTGGGGATCTCAGGGCAATAGGACCTCCTCACTCAACAGCAGTGAGCAGCAGAAATCCCTCAATGGTGAAGATGAAGCTCCCACCCCAGCTTCCACCACTCAGGAAGAGAAACTGGATGCAGCACCTGAAAATTAGCCTCTGCTAGCTCTTTGTTCCCCACAATCTCATGCCCACCAGGACCCACAACAGCTGGTTTGTGGGTGACACTGGCCCCTGCTGGTGCCAGGGGCCCAGCCTTCTAACCATGAAACAGTCCAGGATGGATACAGACTCTTCTTTCATACCTGCCCCAGGCCCCAGACTACTGAGGCTGTCTGGGATGTTGATCCTTGAGAACTTAACTGTGTGCCTTAGCCTCGAGGACCCAATGACCTGCTCTGGGAAAGACGGTGAGAAAAGCTAGAAGAGCTTTTTTCTGCCCCCAAGTTTTGGAGGCACATTTCTAAATAAAAACTGCTCTTGATATGAATTATTTTGACTCAGGTCTGCTATCTGTCCCTTGTGCCGTTCCCTTCCTCTTTCAAATTCAGTTATAGATCCCAGTAATACAAGCTGTCAGAGGAGTGGGATCATTCTTGCAAATTAGGAATATTCAACTACCAATGCATGAACTGACTAGAGGGAAAAACCCATCTGTTCATTAAGAGAGAACTTTCCAGTGTATTTTTTAGTATTTGTGTTCAATATTTATTAAAACTGTAATACTCATGTTGCTCTGATCAACTGTGTTTTATATATATTTACAATGGTCACTCAAGTCAGAAGAAAATTTCTTAGAGCTTTTTTTTAATTTTTAACTTATTATGAATTGAGTGAAGGTTAACAGACAAGATCATCAGCTTGTATATAATTCAACAAAGTGTGTAATTCAACAAATTATACACTTTGTTTCATCTCAATAATTATATTCCCTTCCCTGCAACAACAGTTATACTGCTTCCTCCCTGTGGTTCCCCATCTACATCTTATATTTCACAAATGAACAAAGCAAAAATATTTGATGTATACTTACAAAACCAAAAATAGATATTAATTTCAATACTCAAAAGGGCACATTCTGCCAGCCAGCCTCCTGCCAGCAGACACACAACCTTTCTCTGTCCATGGGCCTAGAACCCGCAACTGCTCTGTCTCCCCATGCCACCGTCTCTGCCACCCTCTCTGCTGTCTCTGCTTTTCTAGATAGGGTCTCACACTCCACTTATGCTCTTCCTTCTTGATGGTCCTGAGATAGTCTGTTCCTGAAATGAAGGATTAACTATTCCCCCCTTTTAGTTACACATCTTCTAGAATTATAGTGTGGCAATTGCAATTAATCTTGCTAACAATTACTCACAATTGAATCATAAAATCCTGTCACCGCTGTCCTCTATCCGCTTTCATCAGATCCATCTGGAAGAGAGGGAAACTATTCAGTGGGGATTCTACCTTACCCCCTTCATTCTGAAAGTAAACATACACATGAAAGCTTGTAAGCCTGCTACATCATGCCTTTATAGCCCCCCGCCCCCCACTTTTGATAGCCAATGTCTAAATTTCTCATCCCTATCAACTCAGTACACTGAGGAAACAAGGTTGTTCCCTGATATGAAGAATCCTTCCATTCCAGCTGGAATTTTGAGTCACTGCATTCTTAAGCAGAAGTCTAGTTAGTCAAATTGTAGCAATTTGCAGTTGTACACAGTACCTAACATCTTTATTTTTCTTGGCTCAAGTTCTGGTCATCCAAGTTTGGTCAAATGGGTACTAGCTACAAGTTTGGGAGTTCACACACACCTCCCTACACTCCAGACCAGCTGGCTGCTTCACTCTCAACCGTAACACCCAGGGCTTAGGTCAGTGCACATGGACTCAGTAGTTCATACAACTCCCTAAACTTCAAACCAGCCAGCCCTAGATGGCCAAATTTCGTCTCTCATACTTCGGGCATGTTGTCAGGAAGGGTCAATCTCTGGAGAAGGATATCATGTTTGGTAAGGTGGAGGAGGGTCAGAGAAAATGAGGAAGACCCCCAGCGAGATGGATAGGCAAAGAGGCAGCATCAACGGGCTCAAGCGTGGCAACAATTGTGAGGTTGGCCCAGGACTGGGCGGTGTTTCATTCTGTTGTTGCTATGAGTCAGTACCTAACAACAACAATGGCTAATGATGGTGAACATTTCTTAATATATTTGTGGCTGCCTGGGTGTCTTCCTTGGTGAAGTGTCTTTTCATGTCCTGTGCCCATTTTAAAACTCATCTCATATAGGTTTTCCAAGACAGTAAGTCTTTATAGGAGCAGACAGTATCATCTTTCTCCTGAGAGGCATTTGGTAGGCTTGAACTGATGATTTTGTGGCTAGCAGCCCAATGCCTAACTCACTGTGCCACCAGGGCTCCTTGTATACATATTTTGAATGCAGTGATGTATGCTATGGTGATGAATTAAAGACTTCCAAGCATAAAAATATGTCACAATAGAATTCAATTTTGGAGGGGAAAGTGGAATGGAAATATAAGGTCAAGGAGAAAAGGAATGTTTTAGTTATCTCATGCTGCTCTAACAGTTATATCACAAGTGAGTGACTTTAATAACAGAAATTTATTTTCTAGAAGACCAGAAGTCAGAATTCCATGTGCTTTAGAGGAAATCTCCCTCTGTCAGCTCTGGAGGAAAGCCCTTAGGGTTTTTCAGCATCTGTTCCTTGGGAATTTTCATGTGGCTTAGTAGCTGTTTCCCCTTTCTCTGCTTTCTTATTTAATCCACTCTTTTATATTTCAAAAGAGATTAACTTAAAACGCAAAGAAAACCCACTCCTAAATGAGATTATAGCCATAAGTATAGGGGTTAGGATTTACAACACGTATTTTTTAGGTGCCCAATTTATCCATAACAAAGGGACCATGTAAAATTGGTGATTACTAAAGCAGAACTTGTTGTTGTTATGTGTCATGGAGTTGAGTCTAACTCAGTGACTCTGTGTACAATAGAATGAAGCATTGTCTGGCCCTGTGCTATCCTCACAAATGTTGTTACGTTTGAGTCCATTGTTGCAGCCACTGTGCCGATCCATCTCGTTGGGAGTCTTCCTCTTTTTAGCTGACCCTCCACTTTACCAAGCGTGATGTCCTTCTTCATGTATTTTTTAAATGTATGATGTTGTTGGAGTCCTAGTGTGGCACTGTAGGATAACCACTGGACTGCTAACCACAAGGTTGGTGGTTCAAATCCATCATCCGCTCCTTAGAAACCTTATATGGGGTCACTATAAGTCAGAACCAACTTGATGGCACTTAACAATAATGGGACTGCAGTTAGCAATCCAGCGCTTAGCCTACAGAGCCACAGTAGGACTCCAAATGTATGACGGGTAATAAGTATCAAATAACTGGGATTTTAGTTTTATTGAATAAATTTAAAAGGATATATAGCAGTTTTATTTATAAAATGCTAGAAATTATATCCTCTAGAACTATTAAGTTTTAAGTGAATGATGAAACATTTTAGATGTCACCTTAAGGTGCAAAGAAGGAGCTGCATGGGTCTCATACAAAGGTAAATCAAAAGTATTGCTATAAAATCATAGAAACCTGTATTTAAAATACCAAAATGTGAACTGGTTGTTTCTTAGCACACCTTCCATCCAGGTCTAGACACTTCGGAAGGCAGTGTTTCCATCTCTCCAACCCTTCCCCAGAGAAGTTTGCACTCCTCGATTTACACCATGTCAAAATGGCAGTTTGGGCATCCTCAAGATACTCAACTCATGCTCCTTTTAAATGTCCTTTGATTTTGGGAAACAAGAAAAGAGGCAAGAGCAGGGCTGGTGAGTGGATGGGATAAGGTTTCCCAGTGAAACTCTTGTCATACAACCCTTGTTACCCTAGAAGAATAAGCATTGTCACATGGTGGTGGTGGTGGGGGGGGGGGAGATTCCTTGGTGCAACTTTCCCGGACTTTTTTTTCTCAGTAACACAGTTTTCAATTTTCTTAAAACTTCTTCATAATAAGTCCCCATGACCAGTCTGTGTCTTTTGAGAAAATATGTCAAAATTTCACTTTTGAAATCACCAAAAACCAGTCCTCGTAGCCTTCTGAGCTGACCTCTCTGACTTGAATTTAACTGACCCAGCAGATCTCTTCTGAGGCTACTGTTTTGATTGGACCTCGCTCTCTGGATTGCTTTCGTAAATCCAAGACTTGTCCCTGGTTATGCTTTCCTTAGCTTTGATCTTGCTTAAAAGACTGAACTAACTGATCTTTTGTAATGCTTTTGGCATTCGTGGAGCCAGAAGTTTACTGAGACCAAGATGTTCACTTAAAATTGAAAACGCTGAATCATGTGCAACCCCAATTTCCGTAATCATTGCATCAACAACAACTTTACAGTTTCTTCCAACAGTTTCTGGACTTCAGTTACAGTTTGTTTGTCGAGGTTGACTCATCTTTGAGGTCTTCCCAACCTTCCTTAAAATGCTTGATCCATATAAAACCTGTTGGTTTATGTGGGACAGCAGTCCCATAAAGTTGTTTCAAAACTTTAATGATTTGGGAAGATGTCCACTTGAGTATTGTTAAAAGTTTTATATTAGCCTCGACCTCAAAATCATTTTTTTCCATGGCACAGAAAGTATTCTTTTCTATAGAAGACACCCTAGTGTGACTTGGTGTTGTTAAGGTTTCAACCCTATATAGGGTTTCCAAGGAATGGCTGGTGAGTTTGAACCGCTGACCTTGAGGTTCAAACTGACCTTGTGGTCCAGTGCTTTAGCTCACAGCGCCACACTAGGACTCCAACACCAGGAGTAAGACAAGCATATGACTGAGAGAACTGGTCTGCAGCCATACCTTGAGATACGTTTAAACACATTTTGTTTGGAATTGTTGGTAAGCGCCATCGAGTTGGTTCCGACTCACGGCAACCCTGTATAGGGGTTCCGAGGAGTGGTTGGTGGGTTTGAGCCACCCACCTTGAGGTTCAAACTGACCTTGCGGTCCAGTGCATTCTCTTGCAGCGCCACACCAGGATTCCATTGTTTGGCATAAACCCATGGTTACATGAACTGAAGTCCTGGTGTGCCGTTGCAGGATAGATAATATGCTGGACTGCAAGGTCAGTTTGAGCCCTAAAGTCAGCACTTCAAACCCACGAGCTCCTCCTCGGAAACCCTATCTATATAGGGTTGCTGTGAGTAGGAACCTACTTAACGGCACTTAACAACAAGTGAACTGGAACCCTAGCAACAGTACGTTTTGACTTACCGTCTTATATTTTCTTAGGAGTACATGGCAAAAATTTTAACAGTCCACTTCTATGGAGGGCTCTGGAAGCCCTGGTGGCTCTTTAGGATAAACACTGGACTGTAAACACACTGTCGGCAGTTCAAACCCACCAGCTGCTCCTTAAGAAGAAAATGAGTCTTTGTGCTCCTACAAAGGTTTATAGTCTCAGGAACCTCACACAGGGTCTCTAGGAGTTGAA